CTTTGAGGAAGAAAGAATGAGACTGTCTGTTCATATTAAGATTTAACAACTAATAGGCATCAGCAGACAATAACAAACAAAAACATGTTGCAAACAAAAACATATTGTTCAGAATGGAGCAGAGATTCAAAGCCAGTCTAGACCGTGGAACAATCTCCCCACAGAGGGGCCACAGGGAAGGGATGAGACACCACAGTGCAGTAGAGCATCGATGAAACACACTATATTCCTTTGGTTCCTTAAGGCTTCCTCACCCCCCACTACCATGACCCCAGTGCTGCTGCTCAATCCAGACTAGACCGGAACATGTACACAGGTATAGAACGGGATTGGAGCTCACAACACACAGAATCAAGGAACAGGAGTGGGAATAGTGATACCAGAAGGGTAGGGGGAAGTGGGGGAGAGGACCGACATGTAACCATATACCCCTCTACTGGGGAAGAACAACAGAAAACATGGGGGAAGGGAGACAGTGGTCGGTGTGAGAGATGAAAATAGTAACCATGTACAATCTATTGTGGTTATTAGGGGAGGGGGAAGGGCTGATACCAAGGACTCATGGAAAGTAAATGTCTAGAAAAGAATGAGGGCAACATATGTACAAACATGACTGATTCAATTGATGTATGGATTGTGATAGGAGTTGTACGAGCACCCAATAAAATGCTTTTTTAAAAAAGATTTAACAACTCAAAAGAGGCTATTTTACTCTGTCCTGTAGCGTCCCTATGAGTTGGACTCTCTTTGGTGCCACTGAGTAGAGTTGAATTTTAGAGGCCACCGGTGGCACTGTGGATTAGGTGTCACCTAAATGTCCTTTTAAGACAAAATAAAATTACTTGATGGGCTTGCATTTTGTCAGCCACGTAGCAAGGGTACTCATGCTAATGATCTGTCAATTCATCTTGATAGAACATTCTAGTTAGGGGTCCTGTTTTGTCACTGATTCTAGCCTTGCTCCTTATGCTTTCTTTATTGCTAGCTAATTTCTGTTCATTGTAGGGTTTAGTTCAGAAGTTGATCCCAGTAGGAAGATTCCCTGACACCCTGCTCCCCTGCTTCCAACCTGAGTCTGTTTCTGCGGAGTTTTGTGCTCCTATGAGGGGGTCATTGTTTTTGTCCATCTGTTGTCCCCAGAGTCTGTAAAAGTGTGTGCAGCGTTTTCTCTCTGTCCTGACACAGCTGGCACCTGGAAGAGCTGCAGCTCATTTGGAACATTGCTATGGAGCGCTGTAAGGAAAGATTAATAGGGAGAGAGAAAATTGAGTCCTTTGAGGATCTCATCATGCTCATGGCATGTCATCATACTCCCTCATATTTGTTCGGTCCCCTGATTGTAGAGGTGAAGAACCCGAGTTATCATATAAATTGTCCAAGGACTATATGAAGATATACAGCCCACTGCCATCAAGTTGATTCTGACTTACAGTGACCCCATTGATCAGAGTAAAATTGCCCCTGTGGGCTTCTGAGACTGCAAATCTTGTCCGGAGCAGAGAGCCTCGTATTTTTCCCAAGGAATAATTGGTGGGTTGGAGCTGCTGACAATGTGGTTAGCAGCCTAATACCAAGCCACTGTGCCACCACAGTTTAAATTAATATGTGGCGTGAGACTTGTTGACAGTCCACTTGTAGGTCTTGATTTCCTTTTCTGAAAAATAAGGGCTTTAGATCAGATGATTTCAATATATTTATAAGACTATTGTCCTGTCAGCTGGCTAAGAGAGGAGTATGACAAAATGTGGGGGAGAGTGTTGCTCCTATTCAGACTAGCAGTGCTAGGGTATTTGGCCAATGGTCTTGTTCTTATTACTACAATTCCTCACTGACTTAATTTTTTTTAACACAATATTTTTCTTGTTCACTTAAGCCAATGGTTTTGAACGGTGGGGATATTGCTTACCTTGGGGTCCATTTGACAATGTCTGGAGATAATTTATTTGTCCAACTTGGAGGATGCTGGTGACATTTGTTAGGTAGAAGGCAAGGATGCTAATAAACATCCGACAGTGTACAGAACAGCTCCACCCCCCAAAAAGAATTATCTGACCCCAAATGCCCATAGTGCCTCGGTTCAGAAACCCTAAGCTAAGCTCCCCCAATAAGGTTTCAGTGCTTCCAAATCAGAAACTTGGTTCTTAACATTTGTATTTGTGACATTGTTAATCCGAAAGTTCCCCAGCATGTCATCTAATTCAGCAGTTAATTATTTTGATAAGGAGGGGGCTATTTCATTACACACTATTTAAACAATAATATTAAATATATAATCATCCTTTCCAAACAAAGTTACTTGAGTCAAATGGGCTAAATTTGATTAGATCACAACACATTGGATGTCACTTTTTTCCCCCCTCACATAGAAGGGGATTAGCCTTCTAGTCTAAAAGTAGAATTCTTTATTCCCTTAATTCTGGATTCTCAGCAGTAGGCCTGATAGTTCGTCACCAAGTCCCAGCATCAGTGAGAGTGGCAGGGCAGATGAGATTCAGAGGTGTTGTACCAGATTTGCCCTGGTGACCAGTTTCTCCTGCAGTGTAGTGTGGAAGCAGCACGGAGGAGTGATGCTGAGAGTGGACCAAACCCAACACCTGAGTCCATGTACCTTCTCCATCTGTACAAGCTGGTTGTAAGAGCATGCTCTTGTTACATCTTTCAAAATGAGGATAGTAATAAAACCTACCTCCCAGAGTTGCTGTGAGCATTAAGTAAGATATGTATATAAAGTGTTTAGCACAGTTCCTGGCACATAGTGCTTGGCAAAAGTTGCTTTCAGCATTACCCAAATCACCATTTTAATCACTGCCTGTTCCTCGTGAGGTAGACCAGCAAACCCGGCAAGTACCATCAGTGCCAAGCACTGGTTGATGAGGTTCTGTGTGCTCAGCACAGGATTGTGCCGGCAGCACAAGACAAGATTTCAAGTTATTGTGCCCTGATTTCTACCTATCAAATTGCTCTGGTACAAAGTAAGAAAAATTATAGAAACCATTTAGGACATGTGCTTTTCCATCCTTCTGTTCTTTGTCATATTGCATGTTTGATTGCAGATATCCTGATGTAATACCAAGGGTTTTTTGTTTTGTTCTGTTTTTACGTTTTTGAGTATTTATTGAAAGTTTTACATTTACTACACTCTTCTCCCAGGTTTTTCAGGTTTTCAGCTTGCTTCTTCGTATCCTGGTAAAACCCCTCTGCTTTTGGCAGAATAAATAAGTTAGTGAAGAAACACCATGCTTATAGGCCTCCAAAAAAAGATTTTAAAAAATCTATAATTTTAATGTATTATTTGGTTTTAATGATTGTCACTAGGGGATTTTTACCTTTTTTAATTTGATACATTGATTACTGTGTGGTAGTCACAAAAACTAGCTACTTGAGAATTGCTTTTGACTGAGTTAGTCCTTGCATACACCTGCTCCCATGTGTGGTTGTGAATCAAAAGAGCCCTTAAGATTAGATTAAGAACACAACTCCATTGCATTGTGTGGCAAGATAACATCATTACCAAACAGTATGAATTAAGCTTCGGCTCTAGAATTTTACATGGTATATCAACTACTGATGATGAGATATGCCATAACATAATTGAAGTGCATAATGCTTTCTATAACTCCTAGCTGTATGTGTCCAACATTACCGTGGCATACTGGGAGCTTCTCCCTTTAGTCCCACAATCACAAGGAAAGATGGAGAAGTAAAAAGGGCAAAGAAAAAGTGAAAAGGAGAAGACTTGGGGTCTTCCCAAAATCACCGTAAATGAAACAAATTACTAATCTATATGTAGTTCTTTTATTACCTGGTTTCATATTACTAAAAGTATATATTTATGAGATGGTTGAACAGCGTTAGAGATATAAGCATTGACTGTGGAAGTTTTCTGAATTCATTTTTGAACAAGAGACATCTGTCTTTTCCCAGGCTTTCATCTGGGTTAGCCCAGATGGGGTTCTGAGTGTTTTGCCGGGCGCCCTTTAGGAGTGAGATGCTGACAGAAAGTTGATGATCATTCAACATTAGTTCTGAGTCATCTAAGAGGGGTACAATGCAATGACATTCTGTCATATTTATATATTTTGTACCTACCATGAGTATATCAGCTAGAATTTTGAAATGTTAAATCTTATTGTTACTTAAAGGAAGATAGTACTAAGGATAAATTATACTAACTTTGAGTTGATTGATCATTGTTGTTACATAGTTTCATTGTGGAAGATTAGACACTTGCTTATGTAAGCATCAATGTGAATACAAGAAGTAATGGGGATACTGGCACATGCTGTTAGTAAGCTATACCCCATGGGAGCTGCAGAGTAGTATAAGACAGGCTTTCCCACACTTCTAGTCTAGTGTGGGAGAAATGCCATTACAAAATAAGTAGGAATCAGGAGTAAAGACTTACTGCAATGTGTGTGTATGAAGGTTGAAGTCAGAGTAGGATGGTGTCATGGATTGAACTGCATCTCCCCAAAATAAGTGTCTATGGTTGGACCATGTTTTTTAGTAGTTGGCAATTAGGTAATTCCTTTTTCCCAAGAATTTTTTGAAGCCCTCTTGAATCAGAAGTAAAAGAAAATACCTTGCAGGTAAAACAAAAGAGATGTCAAATTTTATCAAGAACAACCATAATAATCATCAGATAATTATTTCTTTAATCTGTTAATAAGATTCATTATAATGCAAATTTAAACGTTCTAATACTGACTTTCTGTGAAATGACCCCTAAATAGTATTTTTTTTTTTTAGTGTTTTGCTGGTTTCTGTGTACATTTTTTGCGCTGAGTTGATTCTGACATTTGTTTGTGATGAAATTTTTTAATTTGTTAGCTTTCACAGATTATTGTTAGATCTATGATTGAAGTATTGTGAATAAATTGGAGAGATTCCCTACTGATCCCCTGCTCCCACCCCTGGAAGGACCCCAGGAAGGACAAGCTAAATTGAAATACCTTCAATAATCTTTGCATATATATAAGTACTTCTCATTTTACCCACAGGAAGAAGAAGGAGCTGTTTGCAAAACACAAAAAGCTTCCTGGCTTCAACATTGTGTTTTATCTTTATCTCCAACCAGTGATCTTATGGTTATAGCTCGGGAACAAAAAGCTGTGTTTCTAGTGCGTAAGTACCCTTTTAGTTTCAATGGACTTATTTTACTGCATATAATAGAACACAAGATAGATTTGGAAGGAAGAAAAATGTCATTTCTATTATATATATTTACATGTAGCTATACCTTACCATTTTAAAAATATATTGTACAGCACTTTTTATTTCTTTACTTTTTCTCTGATTTCTTTATATACCCTCTCTGTTTTTCTCTTTTCTTTTTGGCTACAGATAACATAGCTATGATTATATAACATTTCAAAGGCAGTATTGAGTATTGTGCAATTCTTACAAGGGACAAACAGGAGCCAGAGTTCACTGACCCCTGAGTAATGTTAGTAAAGGGATTTTCAACTATAATTGGGAAATTCCTAATACCATATATATCATTTTTCATAAAAGTTTTCAACTCATAATGTGTGTTGAAGATTGACTATTAAAGTTTGGGATTGATATAATACCAAGAACTTTCCTAATCAAATATAAGCTCATATATAAAGTGACCCTAGAATACTCTCTTAAGGCAACAGAGTTTCCCTTCAGATGTATAAATCCAAAGGGAAATTTTCTCTGCTCGTCAAGGATGAAAAGTGTCCTTTTGTATAGACTGGATGGTGCATGGAAATTAAGCTTTTAGAACTCTGATAAGATTGTATGACTTTAGTTCAGGAAAGAAGAGTCTGAAGGTTAGACTGGGTAGTTTTCTACAAAAAAAAATTGAAACGGTACATATTCACCTATGAAAAAGACATCAATTAATGCCACTTTGTTAAATTTGGTACATACACACTATTCTAAAGGAAAAGATGAAATTTAGAAATCACTGCTTTAGTACATAGCTAAAGGAATTTAAATAGCTTGATTTCCTTCCTGTCCCTCCCCAAGCAAAATGGAAACCTGGTGATAAAGGGAAAGAAGAAATGCAATTTGCTGTTGGTTGGAGTGGTTCTTTAAGTGCTGAAGAAGGGTAAGTGCTAATTAATGTTTTCTTTCTCGACATTAAGTGTATGCGTGTAACCGAATGACTGCGTGTGAATGTTTAGAAAATTCATAATTGAGTGTTAGGTCAGTGTATTTTATCTGAGTTGTAAGGGTTGTTGTTGTTATTGTTATTGTTAGATGCTGTCAAGTTGGCTTCAGCTCACAGCTACTCAGGAGAGCGGAGTAGAACTGCTCCACAGGGTTTTCAAGGCTGTTGAGGTCACTAGTCTTTTCTTCTGAGATGTGCCTTGGCTTGAACTACCAACCTTTTAGTTAGTTGCACCACCCAGGTCTCCAAGGGATTGTAGACTTTATGTTCATTATGCGATAACTTTTTTTTTAATACTTGTATATTATTATCTATTTGTTTATCATGTATATCTATTCCGCTGCATATGTGTGTGTATTACTGTCATGTATCTTTTTCTATAATATCAATTTTATTTATTTATATTCTTCCCCTTCCCTGTCATTCCCTCTTGCCTCACACCTGATTTTAGTGTGGGAACCATTTTTCTTGATTTTTAAATTTTATACTAGTGATCTCGTACAATATTTGCCTTACAGGATTGAGTACTTTGCTGAGCATAATGTCTCCCATAGCCAACCATGTCATGAGGTGTTTGATAGTTCATTATTCTTTAGGGATGCATAATCCACTGTATGTATGTACCAAAATTTATTTATCTAATGGTTCCAACTTCTTGCCACTGTGAATAGTGCTTCGGTAATCATGGCTGTACATTTATCTGCTTGTATTGCTCCTTGTTTCTTAAGGGCATATCCAAGTAGAGGGATTGTTGGGTCATACGTATTTCTGTTTCCATTTGTTTGAGGAAGTTCCATACCTTATTTCACACTGGTTGTGTAGATTCACAGTCCCACCAACCATGGATGAGGGTTCCAGTCTCTTCACATCCTCACCAACATTTTAAAATTTGTTGTTTTGAACTTTGCTCTCAGTGCCTGCAAGAGGAGGTATCTCAGTGTTTTGATTTGTATTATGTGATAATTATTTTAAATACTATTATTTGAAAAAATATAAAGAGCACTTTAGAGAAAATCCGATAAGATATTTTTATACGTATTTAGTTCTTTCTTTTTGGTTTCTGTTACTAATTTTATTTAACCAAAAATTCAAGGGCCATTATTGTTTTCTCTGTTGTGGTAGCACTGGGATTCTACTTGAAGGATACAGTGCTATGTTAATTTTTTTAACCGTTCAAGTCAGATTTATCATTTTAGTCTATTATAGTCATCTCTACAATATCTGATCACAAGGTTGTTCTCTCAATTATGGTTAGACAGAAATCACTAGAGGCTTATTCCCTGTGTAGATCCTGCAAATGTACTTTGATCTCCATTGTCACCTATAACCTCACCAGAATCACAATTGAAGCTCTAATACTCTTCCCTCCTTTGGGTTTGGATTAAAGCTATATTAATTCTTTCAACTTGTAAGTAGTTCAGAAATGCAAGATGGTTAGTTTCCCTGTCCTACTAACTTATGACCCAACAGAATGCTCAAATTAGGGAGAATTATAACATGCAAGTGATATTTTACTGAAGACCATTCAACAACGTTTGTAGCAGTATATTCACAGGGAGCTGCCAGAGGTTCAGACTAAATTCAAGAGTACATGGAACAAGGGATATTATTGCTGATGTCAGATGGGTCTTGACTGAAAGCAAAGAACATCATTTACTTGCGTTGTATTGACTTTGCCAAGACATTCGACTGTGTAGACCGTAACAAACTATGGAGAGCTTTGAGAAGAATGAGAATCCTAGAGCACTTCACTGTGCTCCTGCTGAACTTATCGATAGATCAAGACCAGAACAAGGGGATACTTCATGGTTTAGAATCAGGAAAGGCTGTTGTCAGGGTTGTATCCTCTTACCGTATTTATTCACACTGTATGCTAAGCAGTTCATCAGAGAAGCACCACTGTATGAAGAAGAATGCTACATCTGGATTGGAGAAAGGTTTATTAACCTGAGATACACATATGACACAGCCTTGCTTGTTAAAAGTGAAGAGGACTTAAAATACTTGCTGATGAAGATAAAGGAATGTAGTCGTCAGTGTGGATTACAACTCAATGTAAGAAGACCAAAACCTTTACAACTGACCCAACAGGGTAACATTGGTTGAAGTTGTCACAGATTATTTGTCTTGCTTGGATCCACAATCAATGGTAATAGCAGTAAGGGATCCCATGACATGTTTCATTGAGTAAACCTGCTGTGCAAGATGTCTTTAAAGTATTGGAAAGCACGATGTTACTTTGAGGACTAAGCCAGGGTATTTTCTGTCACCTCGTATGCGTATGAAAGTTGAACATTAAATAAGGAAGACTGTGTTAGAATCGATGTATTTGAAATATGGTGCTGGCAAAGAATATTGAAAGTACCACAGACTGTCAAAGGAACAAATAAATCTGTTTGGAGGAAGTAAAACCAGAGTGCTCCTTAAAGTCAAAGATGACAAAACTTGGTTTCACGTCTGTGGACATGTTGTCAGGAGAGACAGTCCCTGAAGAAGGACATCATCTTTGTAAAGTAGTGGGTGGGGGTGGGGGAGCAGAGGAAAGGAAGAAGGCCCTTGACAAGGTGAATTGGCACAGTGGCTTCAACAGTGAGGACAATTGTGGGAATGGCACAGGGCCTGGCAGTGTTTTGTTCTGTTTTACGTAGGGTCCCTGAGTCAGAACTGACATAATGGCACCAACAGCAGCAACAGCTAACCCAGTGAGAATTTCAAAATTTTTCTGTATCACGGCTACATGATCTGCTAAACTGGAAACCTGAGTCAAAGAATATTTTCAGTTAAATTTTTATGAGTGAAAGCTCTCTAATTAAAATGAGTTAGATGGTCTACAGACCTTGAATTTAGATGGTCCTACAAACCTTGAATTCAGATAAAAGACAACCAAGTAGAAGTGGCTAGTACAGGCTGACACATTGTAAGTATTCAGTGAAGCAAATATTTTCTGTTAGAAAAATACATTTTATTATTTCTCCCTACGTCTTTTTGGTTTAAACATTTTGAAGACATTGGATATCTGTCAGAAATGTAAAGCAGATCTCAATGGACTGATTAAAACTGATCAAACAAAAAGATAAACTTAACTTTGTTCAGTAATCATCTAGTGTTTGGTTATAGTTTCTCAAACTGCTTTGACAATGTAAGACAGTAGTTGGTATACATGTCAGAGGGAAAAAAATCATTTTTTTAGGGAACATCAAATTAGCAGGTGCTTAAAAATAGGTTATAGGGAAGTTTCTGCAAACTATGGAAGACACTAGCTAGTTGAAAGGCAATTTAGAGAATTGCATCCTGCAGATATTCAGTTCGCATCTATTGTGGTTGGCATTCTTCTCCCTCTGGTCTGAGACGGGCATGATGTTCTAACTTATAAGGAGAGGACTGTGTTAAGGGATATAATGACTGCCTGGTAATTATTTGTGCTGTTCTCAGTTGTGTTATACGATCAGTGGTGTACGGCAAACTTTTACTTTTGTACTTTTTGTGACCATACAGTCTGGGTGAAAAATTAGACATTTTATTAACGTGACATATTTTATGTGAATGCATTTTCACTCTACTTTGAGTGAACTTTTACTGTGATTTTACTTATGTCCTGTGTCTTTTACATATGTCCTGAGTAAAGCATGGCATTTTCTCCTATTTGCCCTTTTCATCAAAATATGGGCAAAATAGTAAACTAATAATTTCATTGAATGTGCAAATTTTGTTTCGTTTTAGGGAATTTGTAACTAGTGCTCTGTGTATCCCACTGGCAAGCCAAAAGAGGTAAGAATGCATACAAATGATCTGTTCTTTTTGTTTTGATTTATGAGCTGTTAAGTCCTATGGCATTTTGTTTGTAACAGAAGTTCTACTGGGCGGCCTGATTGGACCTGCATTGTGGTGGGCTTTACTTCAGGTTATGTGCGCTTCTACACTGAGGTGAGTTGAGGAAATAAATGTTGGCTATTAAACCCATTTATGCATTTCCTTTTATACTAGTATGTGACTTCATTATCTGCTACTTGGAATTGTATAGTTGATGCTTTATAGGGCGCAGGTTAAGGAATAAAGTTGGGGTACAAGATACAGAGAAGCTATATTCTTCCAAAATATGTTTTGGCATCCATGGGAAATCATCAGGGGAAATGCTATATTCTCTGTCTGGTCTTACTGGCTCCGGTATATCAGAAAGGAAGCAAGAGGCTCTTTTGTGTTTTGTCCTAGAATGGTGTGCTCTTACTTGCACAGCTTTTGAATGAGGACCGAGTACTACAGCTCAAATGCAGAACTTATGAGATCCCACGGCATCCTGGTGTGACTGAGCAGGTAATGTGAAAGATCATGTTCTTCCTATAGCAGCGTTATAGTATCTCACTTTTTGGTTGGGAAAGAGAAAATTAAAGTTGTCCATGCCATCAGCTATGCTATCCTGTTCTAGAAATATAACCTATGAATTCTAAAAAAAAGACTTTATCACCCTTGCTTTTACTTATTTAAAAAATAGTGTATGCTTAGTTTGACAATGAAATATAGTTCTTTAGTCGAATGCCCAAAAAAGTCTCCCATCTATAGAATGTAATATCAACTTAAGGCAAAAATATAGGTGTGTGTGTGTGTGTGTGTATCACCCTACTCCCCACTAGGATAGACTCAGAATTACCCATACTAAGAGGAAAATGGTGAACTATTTGTTAGTCTATGAAAATATATTTACCCAAGTGCTTGGTGGTAGTTTTGTTATTTTAGTTTTTAAAAAATCATTGTACAGACAATTAGACTAATATGCTTTTACTGGACTTTCACTGTCCATAGTCAAAGCTATATCATATGTATCCATCTTTGTACTACCTTACTTCCAAAAGAGTTCAAATAACTCAGTTTCACTGCCAAGTAATATTTCAATTAGGCCTTGAATAATGAGAACAGAGTTAAATTGGTTGATGAGTAAAGAGGGAAAATATGTTAAGCAACCAGCAGGAAAATGAAGGAAGGTTGAAATGGAGGGTTATGTATAAAACAAAAAATAAACCAGTGTTAACAAATAATAAGGAAGGTACTGATTAGGCAAACTTTACATAAATTTGAAAACCAAGTATGTAAGCAGAATTGTTGTAGGTGATACACTTTTAAAGATTTATTGAGAAGAAATATGTGATAAAATATTGAGGGATTCTTCAGAATGAGTTGGGCCTATAAAAAACAAGAATTGGTGCGGGTTTAGGACTTTGGTCTTTTAAGTCATCTGCAATAGAGATGAACAATTTGGAGCCAGTCGAGGCTTAACTGTAAAAGGAAGGACCGATGCAAGGAACATTTGAAAGGAAGAATTGACAGGCCATGACTATTGTCTAGAGATGTAAAGAAACAAGCAAGAAAAGTCAATGACAGCTGTAAGATATCCAGCCCTAGTAAAGTTCTACTTTAGGGATAAATAAAATTTGGTTTCAGACATGTTGAAATTGAGGCAGTAGTTGGAAGTAAAGTAAAAACACTTATAAATATGTACTTACTGATAGGAGTTCTGGAGGAGTGGATTAAGCATTGGACTGCTAACCACAATGTCAGCAGTTCCAAACCACCAGCCACTCTTCAGGAGAAAGATGAGGCTTTCTGCTCCAGTAAAGAGTTTGTCTCAGAAACCCACAGGTGTAGTTTTACTCTGTCCTACGGAGTCGCTGTGAGTTGGACTTGACCCCACAGTGGATTAAGTTTGAGTTGCGTATGTACCTTGCTCAGTTGTAATCAATTATAATTACTGAGGATTCACTGATTTACAATACAAACAAGATCCTTGCTTTCATGGAGCTTACAATGTAGAAGTGGTGGAGAGGGAAAAACAACCAGCGAAAGCAAGATGAGTTAAGTTTCTAATCAGTGCTATGATGGAAATATCTTGGTGCTGATATATCATTGCAAGAGTGAGGGGAAGCTGTTTTGAGTAGAGGCTCAGGATTGGCCTCTGAGTAACTAACCTTTGACCTGAGGACCTTCATGATGAGAACCAGGCTGGTAAAAAATTGAGAGAAGGCCCATGTCCTCTAAAAGAACCATGTTAATGATGAGTTTCCTGTTCATTGAGCAAGGAGAGAGAGAAGTGAAATGACATTAGACCGTGCAGGAATGGTTATGGAGTTCAGTTTAAGTGCAGAAGAAAGCCATTAGAGCAGCGACCCTTTACTACAGTTCTACTTCATAACTGAGAATCACTGCTTTAGAGAGTTTTAACCAGGAGAGTGATTTACTCTGTCTCACAAAGATCACACTGACTGTATAGAAAACAAGTGGACGAAAGGGAGGAGCCTTGGTGATCATCAATAAGAACTACTTAAGTAAATTTTGGTAGAGTGGAATGCTCAGCAATCAGGACATGAGATGTTCCAACAAATGGTTATATCGCTGGAAGTGCCTACTTGCCTATGCCAAGAACTTTGGAAGACTGCTACCTGGCCAGCCAACTAGAAAAGATCCATATTTGTGCCCATTCCAAAGGAAAATGATCCAACAGAATAAAGAAATAATCAAACAATATTGCCAGTGAGTAAAATGTTGCTGAAGATAGTTCATAAATGTTGTAGCAATACATCGGTAGAGAACTTCTAGAAATTTAAACCAGATTCCGAAGAGGATGTAGAATTAGGGATATCAGTGCTGGCAGCAGATGGTTTTTGGCTGAAAGCAGAGAATACCAGAAATGTGTTTACTTGTGTTTTATTAATTGCAAAGGCATTTGAGTGTGGACCATAACAAACCGTGGATAACATTGTGAAGAATGGGAATTCCACACCACTTACTTAATGGTGCTCATATGGACCCTTATGTAGTGCAAGAGGAAGTCATCAGCATAACAGGGGGAACCTGCAAAGCTGGAAAGCAGCAGTTTGCCTCCTTTCACTATACGTGTTTATTACAAAGGTTTTTTCTTTTTACTATATCTGTTCAGTCTATACAAAGAGTCCAAGAAACTGCACTACGTGAAGATCACATCTTCATGGAGAAAAACTCATTAATAACCTGTAATTTGTGAATGACAAAAGCTTGCTTGCTGAAAGCAAAGAGAATTTGAAGCAGTTAATGATGAACATCAAATAATCAAGTCTTTAGTATAGATTATACCTTAACATAAAGAAAAATCCTCACAACTGGACCAATTATCAACATTGTGATATATAGAAAATATGATACTGTTAAGAATTTCATTTTACTTGAATCCACAATCAGTGTTCATGGAAGAAGCTGTTAAAAAATCAAATCAAACCAAATCAAACTTGCAACACAGGACATCTTTAAAGCCCTCCTATAGAGCAAATAATTCACTTCAAAGAGCAAGAAGTGCCTGACCCAAGCTGTGGTATTTTCGGTCACCTCATAAGCATATAAAAGCTGAACAGTAAATAAAGAAGACTAGAGAAAATTGATGCCTATGAATTACTGTGTTGGCAAAGACTTGAGCATTCCATAAACTTCCAGAAGAATGAGCAAATCTGTATTGCGAGTACAGCCAGATGCTCTTTAGAATAGAGGATCGCATGATTTTATTTAATGTATTTTGGTTAAGTTAATAGAAAGGATTAGTCTTTTAATAGAGTAAACAGAAAAGAGCAAGACCCTCAATGAGATAAATTGACACAGTGGCTGCAGCAGTGGTGTAATCTAGTTGTGAAAATGTAATCTAAAAGAAAACAGCTTCTTTTGTACATCATATTACTATCAGTTTGAACCAGCTTGATGGAATCTAAGAACAACGCAGCTGTTATCAAAATGACTTCTTTATGAAATACAAAAATATTGAAAACAAAATGTTAGTTATTGCAAAGCAAAAACTGTAGAATTATGTTTGTGTTTCATTGGAAAATGCATCAGTATTTGTGAGGATATACCGTGAGTCTTGTCTGGAATTTCAGGTGACAGTTTTTCTTCTTTTTACTTTTATTATTGTTTTATGGCCACAGTAGATCTATCTCATTATTATAACTTTGTAAAAATGTTTTATTTTTTTTACCATTTGACTTGAAAGCATTATTTATCATATATCAAAACTCACATTTGAGAATTCTAAGTCCTTGATGGGAAGGTATTCAGAAATTCATTTCCCACTTATATTAGTACTATTTTCTTTGTTTTTTTTTTATATTGGGTAAGTGACAGTTTAGAATTTTTGCATTATTTGTAACTTAGTTATTTTTTTTTTAAAGATAGGTGGGCTTGGCAAAGATTGTAATTATTATTTTTTTCTTTATTATTTCTTAAATAGAATGAAGAGTTGAGTATTTTATACCCAGCTGCCATTGTTACTATTGATGGATTTAGCCTTTTTCAGTCTCTCCGTGCCTGTCGAAATCAGGTAGCAAAAGGTAACTTTTTGGCAAGAAATGTTTTAACTTCTGATAATGTTTATTTTATTTACTTTAACCTATTTATAGAACTAAACATGCTTACGAAAAAACTTTCTGAACTCTAAGAAGGGGGAAACACACACACACACACTGTTCAGGAGAGGATTGTAACTGTATTGAGATGCAGCCTTGTGGGTGAGGACTTAGTTGCATCTAACAGGCACACCATTCCCTCTCAGCAGCTGCAGGGCCAGTATACTAAAAGCTCTTTATTGTTTCCCTTTCTCACTGAGGACAACAAAACTACTGAGTGTGGGGAACTTTTTCCCACAAAAGAATGGGCACAATAGGGAGTCAGCATCAGGTTCTTGCAAATTGGAACACGTCTGAATGTAGCAAAATCAGAGGCACAAACTTAATGCTTATTAAATAGGCAGCTGCATTACTTCCAAAAGAGACAATGAAAAATATACAAGTATCAAGAGTTCTTAAATCTGCTACCTACCCATGCTTTAATGTTTGGGAGAAGATACTGTTTTTCAGCAAATACAAGTTGCTATTGATTTTGTGCTTATTGGGAAGCAAAAATGCTGCCAGTAAAAGTCACACCACCAATTTTAAGATTTCAATTATAGGAACATTAAGATAAGCAACTAATAGTGCTTAAAATCAGTAAAAATGCAATGCTCCCATTGTCTTCCCCTTTTGGTTTAGGGTTGAGGACCCTTAAAGAAGACCAAACCAAATGCCAAGTCAATTCCAACATACAGAGACCCTGTATAATAGTGGTTCTCAACCTTCCTGATGCTGCCACCCTTTAATACCGTTCTTCATGTGGTGGTGATCCCCAACCATAAAATTATTTTCGTTGCTACTTCATAACTGTAATTTTGCTACTGTTAGGAATTAGGCGACTCTTGTGAAAGAGTCAAAGGGGTCACGACCCACAGGCTGAGAACCGCTGCTATATAGCATTTTGTAACTGTTGCTTTACAGTAACAGATAGCCTCAACTTTATTTCAAGGAACAACTGTTGGGTTTAAACTACCAACCTTACAGTTAGCAGCCCAACATTTAATCCACAGAGCTATGAAGTCTCCTTTGGGTTGGGATAGGGGGACCTTAAACCAACCAAATTAAATGTAACCTATTCCCTTGAGTGGATCCTGACTCAAAGGCTACCATATAGGACAATGGGCACTGTGCTGCAGGGTTTCTGAGATCGTAAATCTTCTCAGAAACTGGCAACTTCATTCTCCCATGAAGTGACTCTTGGTTTGAAGAGCTGGCTTTGTAGCTAGCATTCCAACACTCAGCCTACTGGGCTACCTGGTGTCTTTTTCAGACAGGCTTTTTTAAAACAAAACTCTGCCACTGGATTGATTCCTACTCATAGGAACCCTGGAGAATAAAGTAGAACCTTGAATTTTTGAGGCTGTAAATCTAACGAGAGCAATTAGCTTCATTTTTCAAAACACTTAATTCTTTTTTGGTATCAAATAGGTTTTATTTGGCTTTTTAAAATATTTTAATAGTTTCATTGACATATAATTCAGTTATCATACTATTAGTGCAATTATATCAGGAAGAGTTGTGCAGTTATTACCACAAATCAATTTTGGAATATTTTCTTTTTGTGCTTTCATTATTGTTAGCACCTCATTTCCCCCCAATTTCCCCTGCCATGCCCCTAGAAAATTATCAATCCATTTGCTATCTATAAATTTACCTACTCTGAATTTCATATAAAAAAAAGCACAAAGCAAAAACAAGAAACAAACCCCAACACAATGACAGAATAAAACAGAAGAACCTCAATAGAAAAGAAAGCAGGAAATATTAAAAACTGAAACAACTTTAAAATGGGTCAAATGGGAGATCAAATGATAAGGAATTACATTTTAACAACTATTTCTACAATAATCCACTTTATAGCGTACTCTGTCTGAAAGCAAGGTTATTTATATCTCTGGACTATGTCAGAGGGTATTCAATACAGTCTTAATCCACATGGGGATCCTTCAAATGGATTTTGAGCTTTAATCATCCATGTCCTTCTGCAAACCATGGTTTCAGAATTTAAGCTCTAATATCAATCCCTCCTTCTGATTGGGGTTTTATTATGTACAGTCCTTAGATCACACAGGTTCTGGTGTGCCTCTTCCATGTGGTCTTGGCTGGTGCCTCATTTAGAAGGCTGCTTGTTTTAAGGCAGGGCTTTAAGACCCCAGACACTGATAACTGGGAACTATCTGGTTTTCTCACCACACTTTGCTATAACATTCATAACTTTAATGAGTTCTTCATAACTGCAAATATCAAGTAGGACTGTGTCATAAGAATTAATTGTTCTTTGATTAGGGCCGCGATTAAGTGGGAATTCAAAATCCACTCATGTATGGTTTATAGAAAACATCTAGTTCTTTTAAAAAAATTTTTATTGGCACTTCACATGTCATATAATTCAATAATTCAGTTATACCAAGAAGAGTTGTCACCATATTCAATTCTAGAACATTTTCTTACTCCTTGTAGTCATTATTTATGTAATTATTAGTTTTTATTTGTGGCAAAAATATACACACAACATTCTCCATGGCCACAATTTTCTGCTTGTATAATTCTGTGTCAATGATTCTACTCTTTGTATTGTACAACCATTATTGGTATCCTTTTCCAAATGATTCCACCACCATTGACATGAACTCAGTGTCCCTCATACAACTCTTTCCCCTTCACCTTTGCTAACCATTGGTCATTTGGTTTCTTTCTTTTTTGTGTGTGCTTCTCTTGACATAGTATTAACATATCATATACTTCCATGGTCAAATCTCTCTTGAAATGAGTTGTGTATACATAAACACAATTAGTTCTAATGCTCCCTTTCCACTCCCACATTCATTGTTTGCTCCCCATTCCCCCCACCCTCCCTATCTCCCACCACCACATCCTCAGTAAACCATTACATCCAGTTATTATCTCTGTGCATCTACTCCTTCTTCACAACTAGAACACAACTATGCTTCACAACAGAAACAATACAACAAAAAATAAAGTGGCAAGGATAAAATAATAACATAAAGATAAAAATACAAATAATGAGCAAGAAAGAAAAGACCACCATCAATATTTTAAAAGCCAAGGCAGAAACTTTTGTCAGAACAAACAAGAAGCACTTGATCCTAGAACAAATTGCTCTTGGGCCAAGAGGGATGTCTACTGACCAAGTATCATGTTCAGTTCAGTATAATCAAGTTTACAAAGTTCTCTGTTTGATAGTAAAGGTGTCTTGAGACCCTTGCCTGTGGTTAGGGGGATCTGCCAGAGGCTTAATCTGTAGATGAGTTTTGGGCTCCCACTGTCCTCCATAGGCTTCTCCAAATTGGGTGTTCACAAATTAAGCTCAGATATTTCATTACTTGGATTTTGTTATTGTCATCTTTGGATCACACAAATTGGTGTGCTTTTCCATGTTGACACCTCGCTTAGATGGCTGCTTGTTTGAACACAAGCCTTTAAGACCCCAGACTGTATTCCACTTGATAGCCGGGCACCATCTGCTTCCTTCACACTTAACCTTGAGGGATAATTTGATGAAAGTGAGTATGGAGCAGAGCCATGTTATCAGAACTAACTTCTTGGATTGGGGCTAGAATTCAGTGGGGTCCCAGAATCCATCTGCTTGTCCACGGGTTATGGATGACTCTGGTTTACTTTGGCCTGTTGTATTATGACAAAATCAAAACGCATAAGAACAACTACAACAGCAAGAAGCCAACCAGCATTCAAGCAAACAAAAAAAGGAAAAAGGCCAAAGAATAAAAATCCAAACAAACAAACAAAAATATAAAGAGGCAATTGCGTTGATAACTTCAGTACTGTTGGTATGAGTCTTTGTAAGTAACAGTTTCACCACAAGCAACAGCCCATGAGTTGTTGCCCTGCATAGTTTGATCTCTATCCATTGAGCTCTGTTTATCCTAAACATGGGGATTGGGTGCTCGGGGGAGGGGCGGGCACTACCTGGATTATTTCTTACAAGTGTAGATCCCTGCCCAGCAGATCAGGACCTGTCATATCAATGCAAAAGGGGCAGCAACATACTCAATATACAGGGATTCTGTGTCCCTTTCTATTGGGCACCTGCCAAGCCAAGGGTCCCCCCCCCCCAAGGTTCAATGAATGCCACTTCCACAACCTGGGGGTGGTCACTGCTTCTCCAAGCAGAGTACCCCAGTCCTCCGTCCAAGGTTACAGGCAGGTTTGAGGCAGGTCTCAGTTCATTCAGTCAGGCCTCTGGTGCATCCTCTGGCTGCCTGCAGGATAACTGTTCAAGGTTGTCATGGTGTTTATTCCATGGTATGGTTCATGGAGGGTTAGGCAGAAACATATTCATAGTGTCTACCCAGCAACATAAAATCTTGTCCATTGTTCCCCTAGATTCCCTACAATCATTGTTTAATACCCCAAAACATATTTTTCTTTAAAAAAAATCATTTTATTGGGGGCTCACACAGCTCTTATCACATCCATTGTGTCAAGCACATTTGTACATATGTTGCATCATAATTTTCAAAACATTTTCTACTTGAGCCCTTGGTATAAGCTCCTCATTTTTGCCTCCCTCCCTCCCTCATGAACACTTGATAATTTTTTTTTCATGTCTTACACCAACTGCTGTCTTCTTTTACCCACTTTTCTATTGTTCGTCCCCCTGTGGAGGTGGGTGGTGGTGGTTATATGTTGATCATTGTGATCGGTTCTCCTTTTCTACCCCCACCTTCCTGCTACCCTCCCAGTATTGCTACTCTCATTATTGGTCCTGAGTGGTTTATCTGTCCTGGATCCCCTGTGTTTCGAACTCATCTTTCCTAGTGTACATTTTCTGTTCTAGCCAGATTTGTAAGGTAGAATTGGGGTCATGGTAGTTGGGGAGAAGACGCATTAAAGAACTAGAGGAAAATTGTATGTTTTGTTGGTGCTATACTGCACCCTAACAAGCTTGTCTCTTCCTGGAACCCTTCTGTGAGGGCATGTCCAATTGTCTACAGATGTGCTTGGGGTCTATACTCCGCCCTCCTCCTCCTTCATATCAGTATAATTTTTTTGTTCTGGGTCTTTGATGCCTGGTACCTGTTCCCATCAACATCTCATGATTGCACAGGTGTGCTTCTTCCATATGGGCTTTGTTGCTTCTCAGCTAAATAGTCGCCTGTTTAAGACCCCAAATGCTTTATCTTTTGATAGCCAGGCACTATCAGCTTTCTTCACCACATTTGTTTATGTACCCATTTTGTCTTCAGCAATCATGTCAGGAAGGTAAGCATCACTGAATGCCAGGTTATTAGAACAAAGTGTTCTTGCATTGAGGTAGTACTTGAGTAGAGGCTCAATGTCCATCTGCTACCTTAATACTTAACATATAGTACATAGATCTATTTCCCTATCATTACATATAAATGTATTTACCTATATACCTGCCTGTATTTAGACCTCTATAAATGTCCTTTGCCTCCTAGTTCTTTCCTCTATTTCCTTTAACTTTTCCTCTTGTCCAACTATCATGTTTGACCTTCATTAGCTTTAATTCCTCTTGGCTATATTGCACTTGATTAAGTCTACCAGGCATCCTACACCCTCCTCGCCATCGATTTTTAGATCACTAGTCATTCCCTTGTCTCTGGGTTTGTTTGTTCCCCTCCTCCTC